CGACATTAGGTATACAACGAATACAGTGTATACTGCCGGTAAAAGCCCATTTTTGGTAAGTGATCGACATAGCCGTCGGTCCATTACTGTGCCACACCGATCTCCTGCTTCAACGAGCCTCCGACGTCACCATCCTACCGCTCACACCATATTGGATTAGATTGTATTTCCTGATCCGATTATAGCAATTTGTGAAGTTACATCGATAGTGATTTTATTAAAGTTATAAGATCTACAACTAAATAACAATCTTTATCTCCAATTCCGTAACCTTCATAAGAATGACCACCTGATCTTGCAACAACAGGATAATTTGATTCTGATCCACATTTAATAGTATTTTGAATACCTAATAATCTGTTGGATGAACAAATGCTACTGGAAAATGAATAATTTGTCGATTATATTCTACGTTAATATCAACATTATAGGCAAAAGTCATCTCGATAATTAATAGGTCCCTTAATGTATTGATCAAGACACTTTCGAAGCGAATCTTCTCTTGGACATTTACTCAGCGGAAGAAGGTATGTAGAAGCATAAATAGTTTCAATCAATAAAACTATAGTGTATATGCACGAAATCATTTATCATACGTAATAAGGTTTTTTCGATAATGTAACAGTTATTCCTCCCAATAATTATGTTAACCGATTTTAAAAGGCGTTATAATAATTTTTTAATGCATGCTCTTAGTAGTAACATTAGCTCATAAATAATAGAAATGCCACAATGGGGCTTATGTATTTTTAAAATAAAACCATTTTAAATTTGCTAGTATTCACTGACAAGAACTAAAATCTATACAGTATTATAAAAATATACATGATTATGAAATAACAATATTTAAATAAGGTAATTGCGAAACGTAATTGCGCCAAAACCGGGAACTGGAAATTATCTATTATACACATTTTTTTTAAAGATATATCGCTAGTTACTGCCAATCCTACAGATCACTTGTAACATAGATGATAATAGATACTAAGTGGACTACTTCAAAATATAAGTTTATTTGAAAAAAATTCTCTTTACAAAATTTGGCTATTAATTATTAACAAATAGTCTATCTACCTTCCGATATAATTGCTAACTAATAAGTTATAACATTACGATGCGACATAAATAGTAAAAGTAATATAATTAATACATTTAACATTATTCTCAATTAAATAAATAGTAAATTATCGTTATATGGAGAATAGCATGATAATCTTTCTGTTACGTCAACGTAAACATATACAAATAGAAACGTCAAATACTAATTAATAAATGAATGCGCAAAAAGTGGCATGATTAAACATTGGTTATATTCGTCACATTAGATAACCGAACTCCCATGACACCAATTATTAAATGCGAATATGTTGGCACAAAAAGTTAAGCAACTAAAATTTTGCCACCATTTTAGTCATCATCGATCAGATTTGCGAACCCGAAACTATCCGTGTTTACATACAGTATTTAGAAATCATAGCCGACTGTAGCATCCAAGATTTTGTGGATGCAAACCCTGGAAGATTGTTGTAAAGCATATTCGCCATTTTAAATTACGGAAAACTCCATTCCTGGTATATTATAAAAATTTCATACTTGTACGCAATATATATAGTATTAATTATATTTTTAGTAAAAACTAGAAATGTTATATGATCTGATCTTGGATTAATAGACAGTCTGGGCTATTTTATAGCTATTATCATAATTTTTGGGACACTTAACAAAAATTAGCCGAATATTTTTTCGGCCGATTCGGATAAGTTTGTGGTTTTGGCATGATCAGTATAATAAAGCTATTTTAGTATCATAATAATGATAATGTTAACGTTATTAAAATTTCGTTCGAGTGCTTATCCAACATGTTTGATGTGTTTAGTTTGTACCAAATTTATGGAAAGACTGTTCTCGTCAGCTAATAAATATTGGCAAGAAATATAAAACAATGAGATATATGTATGTACGTAATTATACGAACTAAAGTTTCTTAATATATACATTAGTCACCGAATCTCAAATATATATATCAATTGAATCGGCTAAAAAATCATTCGCTAATTTTTATCAAGTATTTCAGAAATTATGATAACAGCTGTAAGACCGGCACTTAAGACAATAGATCATAACAAGCCGAATCAAACTAGACTAGGGGGCTGTTAACTTCCATAGTAAAAACCATATATTAAAATTTCACGAGTTAAAAATATCTTCTTTTACCTTATTCCATTGTATGAATGGTTTGATGTTTTAATGAGCAGTCTCAAAGCCACATGCTCAAGCAATTCCGAATGGGTGATTTTGTGCTTATTTTTATGAAATTGGGTTTATATGCAAACAGTAGAGGTGCGACCCGAGTGAGGCAAATCTGGGTTATTCCGGTACCCGGCTGAAGGCAATAACCTGGGTGAAAATGGATGAGAATAAATAACTGTACTCTGCATGTTATGATACATAGCACTCAATTTCTGTGTCATAATTATAGTTGTTAGGTGAAACTGCTTTTCGCAAATGGCGAAACACGAAACTGGCGAAACTCCGGCGAATTGCGAAACCCCTGGAGAACGTCGAAACCCCGAAGAAAGACGAAGTCCAAGCTCTCAGCAAGTTTAAATTCTATAAGACTTCTGAAAAGACTGATCCATGCTGGAGAATGAAATATTTTTGCGTATATTAAGCATTGCATGCATGCATATGACTTATAAAAATATACGTACGTATGTATTTGAACCATGTTGGTAATGAAATATTTGCATGTGGCAACATGTGGTTTGTATAAAGAAATGCACTAAGTCATGTTGGTGGATGAAAATATTTGCATGACTATTAAGTACAGCATGTGGCTCATAAAAAGAAATGTACCCAAGCCATGCTGATTAATGAAATATTTGCGTGTGGCTATTAGGCACATCATGTGACTTATATAAAGAAAGATACCTAAGCCATATTATGCGTATGTTAAATTAAAATTTATATCAAATTAAAATTTAAATATTGGAGTTGAAATAAAAGTCTATACTAAAAAAAATTAAATCCATTGTTACTATTAAATAGAAGAGTTAAAACAATTTGAATTCTAAAGACAGTAAGATAGAATATATATGGAGTGTCGTCAACTAAAAGGGCCCATTTTTACATTTTTTTAAAAAATGATTTCTTATTAGATTCATGTATATTTTGACATGATTAATATTTTTCAATTACAAATGAAAGTCGATTTGCATAATGAAAAATAGAGATAATGTAACACGAGGCCAAGCACATCACGAGATTACCCGATAGTCGCCTATTACTTTTAACCAACCAAAATGGTCGTGAAATTTGGTTAATCCGGATCAGTCCGAAAATCAAAACAAATGATTAAACTGAAGCCTTTTAGTTGACGATAGCTGCAAGATATTGTTACACAAAACCAGGAATGGGAGATGTAAAAAGTATCAGTATTGTATTTAATAAATTTATAATGCTTTGAACTAATTATGTTGCAAATTCAAGTATAGTTACAATATGTTTTACTTAAACCTTTTACTTTAGCCTAAAATTATAACTATTTTGAACGGCAACTATAAATCAATTAAATCGCAATTATATTATATACAGCTTAATTGTATTTTACATATAATTTAGATCCCATTAAACAAAGAATGCCTAGTTTACTTAATAATTTTTAACAAATAAATATTTATCCTTATTAACATGAAATTTCAGTATTAATAGGTATACTTTGATTCCAATGAAATACATTATAAGGATCATATTTTCGTTTAATTTCCACCAATTTTTCGAAATTTTCTCTATAGTATCTACATTGCCAATTATCCAACTGTCTATCAATTAAATTTTGATAACTTTCGTAATTGGTATATTTTTGTTGAAAGTGATGAGCAAAAAATTTTAAATTCTGTAAACACATTTCAGAAGGTTCTACCGCTTTAATTTCCATATGATTCATAAAACCCCTGTGAACGAATGCTGTCTCATTTCTCATAATCTCATTAACTCTTCCACCACCAAGTAGTATTATCTCAATTCTGAATCCACATTCGAAACTTTCTATAAATTTCATTAAATGTTGAACTCCTTCACCAGATAACCCATTCGAATTAATGAAAAATGATTTTACTTTAAAAGATCCAGTTTCATTGAATGATCCTGAGTTACGAGTAAGTAAATTATACAAATCATTTTCACTATAAGATACGCTTTTAGGTTTAGTTAATTTAATAAATTCTTGCACATGAGGTTGCAATTCATCTGCAGACCCTAGGTAAATCCCATCAATATAAGTTTTGAATTTAAAGATTGAAATTAAGAGAGTTAAATTCTGATGAAAATTATTTCCGAATTGATTCATTACTGAGATAATTAATGGAATTTGATCCCAATCATATCTAAAAGTAAGAGAAGTTACCACCTTCGGGATAGGGTATATCTTGAGGGTTAAAGTTGTAATAATTCCATAGCCTGCATTTCCTGCACCGCGAATAGCCCAGAGAAGTTCAGGATATTTGTTAGCATTGTTAACTATTGTCCCATTTGCTAAAACAATTTGTGCATCAAGAATATTATCTGATGAAAATCCAAATTTTCGATTAAGAAACCCTACACCCTGTAAAAAAAATAACATTTTGATGTTTATAATTTCTATAGTTTAAAAAAGAAAACGCATTAGAAATTTTTTAAGCAATGCTTACACCACCCGTTATAAGTCCACCAACTCCAATAAAAGGACAAACTCCACCTGGGGATGCAAATCCATATTGGTTTACACTGTAATATAATGAATTTAATTTATTTCCTGTTTCGATTATAGCAGTTTGTGAAGTTATATCGATAGTAGTTTTATTAAAGTTTACAAGATCAACAACTAAATAACAATCTTTATCTCCAATTCCGTAACCTTCATAGGAATGGCCGCCTGATCTTGCAACAATTGGATAATCTAATTCTGTTCCACATTTTATAGCATTTTGAACATCTAATACGTCTATCGGATGAACAAATGCTACTGGAAAATGAATAATTTGTTGATTATATTCTACTTCAAGATCAGCACTATAATCAAAAAAGTCATCTCGATAATTGAGAGTTCCTTTAATGTATTGATCAAGACACTTTCGAAGCGAATCTTCTCTTGGACATTTACTCAGCGGAAGAAGGTATGTAGAGGCATGAATAGTTTCAATAAATAAAATTATAATATATATATATGTAATCATTCGTTATACGTAATAGTGATTCCTCTCGATAATTGTGTACAAAATTATCTAGCAGATTTTTTTATTTAAGCCTCTCGACATGTTGGCCATAGCATGCTATTTATTTAGACAATTTTAAAAGAAGTTTTATAATAATTATTTAATACAAAATATAGTATGCTTTTAGTGGATAATACTTCATAAATAATAAAACTGCCACAATGGGGCTTATGTAATTTTAAAATAAACCTACTTTTTATATTTGCTAATATTCACCAACTGGGTTACAACCAATCATCATCGATCATAAAATTTCATAGTAATACTGTATCACACCGCATACAGAACCCAGGGTGTTATTAAAGAACACCATTTTTTAAATTGAAATAGTACCCGCAGGTCTATGTGAGGAAATGGATACTATATATAGAGGATATATCATCTGAAAGTAATAAATTTAATATATATTATTCAAGACTTAAGTCAAGTAGGAAGTGAATAATACCGTCTTAATAAAGGAGAGTACTATTTTTTGGTGCTACTTTATGAAGTGCAATACGGGGTTATATTTTTTTTTAGTAAAGACCATATTTAGTAAAATTTTTCTAGTTAAAAAAATACCTTCCTTTTTACTATTATTTCTTTAACTGGATGGCTTAGTTTTTTTAATAAGTAGTCTCAAAGCCACCTGCTAAAAAATTCGCTGATTTGGTTGCTTATTGTTGTGAAATTGGCTTATATGTAAAAAGAATCTACCAACTTACTGACAATCACTTCATAGACAACTTACAGACAAGTTTATTTCATAGGCAGTTTATTTCATTTCACAGATAGAATAATCTAGTCGTTAGGTTTAGAATTAGAGTTAAGGTTAGTAATGGTTATAAAAAAATTCGTCGATAAATATAGTTGCCAAGCTTGTCTAGGATTTTGGAATATTAACTATGCTTGGATTATTTAAAATCTTTTTGTAGATAAATCCAAAATTATGTAAAGCACTTGGCCAAATCGCAAATAAGATATGTTCCAATCTTACGTCCATATTCCAAAAATGACCATAACGATAATCTAAAGTGTAACGAATATTAAAGATTTATTCGTAGCATTTTAGATATTTCAGAAATAATATATCACATATTACATATTACAAGGTTGGGTTTTGGAACAGTTTAAATTTAGAACGAGTTTGGGACTTAAATTGTTCCAAACTTATAAATTGGGATTTTGGACCAAATTTTGCATAAAATCTTTTATTTTGGGCCAATAGCTATAACCAGGAATGGTAAATGACTTGGTCATTTATCAAAATTCAAATTATCACAAGTCATCAGATAATAATCAGGTCATTTAGGTCATTTGTATATAGAATAATTTTATTGGTCGAATTGCTCATAAAACTCTATTACTTCCTAATCGACAATCAGACTATACATTAAGTTAACTAATTGTTATGTCTTTAGTAAATTGTTTGGGATAATAAATTTCATCTATTCTTAAACATTCGTGTAAATTGAACAATTGCTTATTTACTCATTTTTGTATTTTACTTTTTCATAAATGTAAAACATCAAGAAAATTTTGAACCCCGATTTTTTTCAACCGATTATCATCACTGATGCTATATATAACTTGAGTTCTTGAAAATCACCATAACTAATTAGATTAGAAATGTTACTAAGAATTTTTTTTAGAATTCAAAAATTTTAGCGTGCAAACTTGCACACTAAACCTGATGGCTCAAGGGATTACTAGATAGCTGTGCGACGTCATGGAACGAAATTTAACTAAATACTCGTATTTACTTAAATGCAAGAGAAATAATTTTCTTGAAAATTTAGATAGAATATAAAACCCTTTATGCTTATTAAGTTTAACTACAGTTCTTAAGTAATGGCCATTTCGACTAGACATATCTGTCGTGCTTGAAGTTATCATCTGCTTGAGTTTTAACTTCAAGCAGATGTCAACTTGACCGGGGTAAAATCGCCACACTAAAAAATTTCGAAAATCATAACAGGAGGAAACGTTGATGTTACACAATTGATTTTACACAAGGTGTGAAACACATAAAAAAATTATTTTACAATACTTGAACAATCTTGATAAATCCGTTAGTAGATGTTATGATTAAAATCCAACACCATTTTTACTATGATAAAAATGGTGTTGGATTATGATCATAACATCTACTAGCGGACTGATCATGATTGTTCATGCATGGTGACAAGAGTCAACGGATCGAAAAGAAAGGGAAGAACTGGTCAGGGTCACACATCACGTGCTATAACTCCGCACTCAGATCACGGGGCAAAGGGTATGGGTCGGGATCAAAGAACGGATCAATCAGTAAATTGCATTAATCAACACGCAACCAGAGATACACGTAATAGAAAAGCCACCTACCACAATCGATATATAAATAACCAAAAAACACAAGATGCGTCGACACCCTTTCCCAAACAATTTCGTGAAGAATCGAACCATGAGCAACACAGAGCCAAAACCACGTGACCACAACAAGGAACTGCGCACGGCTGCCCAAATACATCTGCACCCGTCACAACACTAAACAACCCCAGGCCCGAGGCACGCATTGACCCATTAGTGAAAGCATATATTGATGAGTCGATCCGCTCATCCACCACATCAGTCATCAGATCCATTAAGCAGTATATTGATTCCCAATTCAATAGACAGAGAATATGGAATGAACAGCTTCAATCGAACATCAACAACATGTTGGTTCAGATGACACAAACCAATAATCAAACCAATAATCAAATGAGTAATGATACCAACACTATAGAGTCATACAGTGGCTAAACGCCAGCAGAATATATGACATCACTGATAATTTACAGAAAAACAAAGGAAAAGAAATTGAACAATCTACAGGTAAATATCCTCTGACATTAGTATTAAATGACCTTATTATGAGGACATCCAAGGTTACTTTTCAAGGCCAGGACATAGACATAGCATCTACAAAGTTGCACTTAGTCAGATTGACATCACAGAAATACCTATCTTTTGATTACACAAAGTTCAAATGCATCCAAGAAATTCATGAGTTTTCCAATACTTAAACAGTAAAAACAGAAAGTATATGTATTCAGTGGATCATAAACTAGGGTCAGAAAATGATTGAAACACTGCCTTTCAAACCTAATGCTTTATTTAGACTATGGAAAGCAATTGCTTCTAACACATATATAAACCTTCAAGATTTTATATACAAAAACTTGTTATTTAGTATTAAAGAATCAGAAGATAAACCTATGCTATGATCAGTAGAAGGTGATACAATTTCAATAAAAAGGTGATTACATCACACAGCATTTATGGACATTTCAGAATGGTTATTGGTCTTCAAGGCATATATGTATGTTATTCTTATAATTTATAGTAATAGAAAATATGAGCTCAATTCATACAAAGATTATATTAACAAATTATGTCTTAAACAGAATTTTTATGCTATAATATTCTATGATAAAGATCATAGATTAATACTGGTTACAAATCAGGATTCAACATTTCTTGATCAAGATACTGAAGTTGAAACTAGAAATTTTAATGCAACAACAGTAAAAAAGCACAAATACAATATATATCATACTGTATAGCATAATATAGAATGGAATGATGGCAGAAATATATATATCAATTGGAATAAGCACTACTGTGCAGATAAAAAAACATGCAGAAGGGTTCATGCATGTTTGATCTGAAAGAAAACTAATTATAGTAAGCAAAGATGTTTTAAGAAAAATAGTCTATGAAAAAATAATCTATTTGATATTAACAAGACAGACAAAAATGCATAACAATAAGTGGATTCATCTTTGAAAAAAAAAATAAAAATAAATAATAATAGTAGCAGATATATATATGTAAGATGGTATTAAAGGGTTTTACCTTTTGATGCATAATTAGAACAAATACAGTATATTATAGTAGTAATGCTGTTGGGTTATTAGCATTATTAATATTATATATACAAATAATAAATAAAAGTTAGTATTAAGCAAATCTATATTCATCCAATATCTTTACTAATTATTAATTCAACAGATTTCAGAAAAATAATCCAATTTAGACATTCTGTACAATATAAAGTAGGCTGAGGCATTACAATATCCAAGACTCTTATTTTTTAATCAATCAACTATACACTTATAGCTGTTTTATTATGTAAAATACCTTTAACAGTTATTAAAAATAAGATTTACAAATAACTTGATCTTAGCATTTTTAATATTTATACTCTAATTAATAGTAATATGTTTAAATATTTTACAACTAATCATCCAAATTAATTATTTATATCTTATTTACTTGGTAGACTTGAATATAAATTTAGATTCAATTTTTTAGATTAAAAAACTAATCAAATTTAAAAAAATTTAAAATCAATAGAAATCAATTCTTTATTATTTAAAAAATATATTCAGAGTAAACTTTTATAAGGATAAATGTGTGGTTTTTTTTTGGAATACCAGTTACTATATCAATTTTTTGGATAAATCTTTGTGGTTTAGTAAAGAAAAAAGATATAAATCAAAAGAATATTATGTAATATCACATCTGTTTGCTTTTTTTAAACAAGTATAAATAATGGCATAAACAGAATTAAATTTAGTACACAATATAAGAATATAAGTCATGCAATCAAATGTATTATACACTATGAACAAGAATGTTTTCTGCTCAAAATTGATATAAAAGACATATATAAAATCTTACTAGTACATTCTATAGATCAGATACTTTAAGGTATTGTATTTAAAAATAAAATATATTTTGACAAAGCATTAGTCTTTGAAAATTGAACATCAGATTGAATATTTTGTAAATTCACTTATGTTCTTATATGTATTGTAACACAACAATAGATAAAATCAATAATTCATTATGTTGATAATTTCTTAATTATATCAAGAACAAATGCACAAAATAAATTAAATCAGTTTCTTTATATATTTAGTATTTTAAATATATTACACAAACTATCAAAGCTTGAAGGCTCAAGCACTTCCATTATTTTTCTTGGTATTTATTTCAATATAGAACTATTTACTATTATAATTTCTGATAATAAAAAATTTAAACTAATTAATATGCTAAAACTATGGAAAAACAAGCATTAGTGTTTTAGAAAAAAATTACAATCTTTAGTCAGGTTACTAATATGGATATATCAAATTTTTCCATAAGGATGACCATTCATACAATGACTTATCAAAGCCTTAAGTATAACAAATAATCCCAAATCTCATATAAAGTTAAATGGTTCTATAAAATCAGATATCAAATAGTAGATTTTAATACTACCAAAATAGTTAAAAGTATACTTTATAGAAGACCAACAATGGTTTAACCCAGCTATACAAAATCTCTTTACAGATGCATATAACCTAGATGGTAGAGCAATATTCAAGTTTTATTTTACTGTTTTTAACTGGTTCAAAGAAATGGATTTATCTTAGTATAATATTCAAGAACATGAACTTTTAATAATACTAATTACAATATTAACCTTTTTTCAATATGAACCCAAAAGCAGTTTATTATCTGGCCAAACAATTAAGCAAATATAAAGGCTGTCTATTCTGGTTATTATAAACATAAACTAATCAATGAAATGGTAGCAAAGATATACTAAACTCAGATACATGAGAATTTCTTAATTAAAATAGAATATATAATAGGAAAAATAAACACAAAAGCTGACCTATTATTATAAAATAGTTATAAAGAATTTTTAGACAAAAATTCAACAGCACACTATTTACAACCTGTAATTTTACACAGATATACTAATTTTATATCAATTATTCTCTCATTATTTTAACAAATATATACAACAGATATCACCTTTCTGATGACAAACCAAATAAGCAAACCAATAAACAAACAACCAGATTATTAAACTCAATACAACCACTCAATCAACAGCTGTATTTATACTTAGCACAGAATCAAAAATAAACAAACATATGAGTCAGCAGTAAAACAATATAAAACAATTGCAATTAAAAACTAATAGGTTAATTCATATAGAAAAATTTGGCCTATTACCAAAAACAATCTTATTAACTTCATTACCTACATGCATAACAAAGTTACATCTCTAACTCTTTCATTATACTTATTAGCTCTAAATCATTAATACAAAATGAACTACTTCAAATAGACAGAAACATGCAATAACCTCTTGGTAATAGAGTTATTAAAGACCATTAACAAAAATTATATATACAAACCAGTAAACCAAAAATCACATATAATACATAACCACCTGTAAATATTAAAAGACAACCTGAATTTGAATGAATAGAATAGCAAAATGTTTTGAACAATAGCAACAACTGCATTTTATAGTCTAGCATAGTTAGAAGAACTTCTCCAACAACACAACATAATTAAAAAGAATACCAACATTTAGGCATTAAAATTCAAAAAAATTAATCACTACACTTTTGTCATTATTCAACTAATATATACCAAAAACTACAAGACAGCTGAGCACATATTTCTTATAATTAATCTAATATATGATGATCTATATCTAGTAGAGGCTTTGAAAGTATATATAATACAGAGATTAGCCTCTATACTTAACTACCTAGATCTGCTATTTGTTAAGGCTAATGGGATATAAGCAACAAAACAATTCTTTATCAGCAAACTTAAACAGATTCTATTATCAAAAGACATTGCAAGTTACAGTTTTAGGACAAAAGATATTACAGAACTAGTTATACAAAAAGTCTAGCTTGTAATAGTTCAAAAAATAGGTAAATAGAGCTCAGATGCATTCTACAGATACATCCATACTCATTCAGCTACAATAGTAGCCATATTAGTAAAAGCATATAGTAATTAAACTGTTTTCAAGTTACCTTTTATTAATGGTATTTCAAACATCACAATTACAATTAAAAAAAATAAACCAGCAAAGAAAAAAGTAATAATACAAAAATGTAATATGTCAGATCAGGATCAAATTCAATAATCAAATGCACAGTTGTGCAATAATGCAACATCTATAATAATCAGTAAAATTTATATTTGCAATGATAACATTTGTAATTTCAATAACACTAACTATTTATTATCAGCTACAAAAAAAAAAAAAAAAGAAGCAAAAAATCTAACATAATCTAAATGCAGCATTGACATATCTACTATAACAGACTTAACTATAATGCATATAATATAACATATACTAGATAACACAAACCAGATAACACAAACCAAAATGTGACAATAGCAGAATTCCAATATCTAAAATATTGCAACAGTCTCCTAATTCTGCTATTTTCCTATTTAACAGCTCATTTGCTTTAAGCAGACAGGAAACTACTAGCTAATACTGCTTTTTGCTTATTCTATTATTATGATAATATTTGGTGCAATTTTATTTGCCAATTTTCTAGAAGTATATTATCATTTCAGTTCAATTTACTTAGCTAAAATTACTTAGAATGTTATAATGTATTCTGCAGACTTCATGTTCTTTAATTAAATTTATTTCTAGCACCTTTGGCTAGCCAGCATTTATCCAACAATATAAACAGTCATATTGATACTTTTCAAGTATTGTAAAATAATTTTTTTATATGTTTCACTCCTTGTGTAAAATCAATTGTATAACATTAACATTTTCTTTTGTTGAAAATTATCTGATATTGCTAATTTATTATGATTAAATTATGATAATAATATTGATTAAAATATTAATATAATTGATTTGATTCTTTAAATTAAAAGTAGTTATTAAAAGCATTGTTGATTGTTGTAAACAAATTTTTGCAAACAAAAAAAAAAAAAATTAAAATAAATTATAAAAACTAATAAAAAAAATGCAATTGAACCAAAAAACCTTGTAGATTTTATTTTTAATACTCTTTCAGATGATAATACTTTAGATTATTATTTGAATCCTGGATGCAGTAGTGAAGAAAACAAGTAATAACAAATAGCTTAATAGTATTAATAAAAACTTTGTATTATTACATAAATTAGAAGATTATAATTATTTTAAAAGGCAAAAGAATGTTTTAAATACTTAGAAAACCCATAATTATAATACTTCAAGTTATAATAAATATTAAGTTTATTTAATTATTTGAAATAAATAAAATGATTAATTTATTACTTATTATTATTACTTTGTTATTCAAATTTTTTTTGTTTGTAATTTTGTTAAGTTACATAAATTTTTAGCACTCAGCATATTTGCATATGATTTTTAAAACTTTTTGAGTAGCAATTTTATCTGATTTGTCAACTTCAAGCATGACATATTCATCAAAGTTGTTCAAATTAGGTCTTTTTTTGTACAAATGTTTTAAATAAAGATATGCATTATGCATTGAAGTGTTATATTAACTATTTAATTAAAACTATGTTAGTTATATTAATTATTTATTATAATTAGATTTTTATCAGTAAAATTAAAATAATTAATAAATAAAATTTTACTTTACTTAATTATAAAGAAAGTGCAAAATTCTAAAGGTATCATGTAAATATTGCACTTATTTATCTAATATTTTTTAATTGAAAACTGTTTATCAGAACTGTTTTAAAGTAAATATGTTTGACTTTTTACTAATGTTCTAGTTAAGTTTTAATTTATATGATTAAGATAATTTTTTTTGTTCTAATTAATGAATTTTCAAGTATTCTATAAAGTGAATATTTAAAATCTACATATTAATAAAAAAATAAATATATAGCTTTATTTTTTGACTTTATATAAATAACTAGTAAAAATTTTATAGTAATTGCATGCTTATATAATAAGTTGATATATTTTAAAAATTCTTTTTTTTTTTTTAATATTAAGATGAGTACTTGCAACTCAGGATTTTATTGATAGTATATTTGGCTAATAGTTGCATTGCAACTATAGGAGGCAATTATGGAGAGAGTGTACAACTAGTCACTTGTACAACTTTAGTTATTGTCTAATATGAGTAGTCTGCTCGAAGGTTCTATACTAGCTGCCATACCTGGAACCCACTTGTAAATTCCCTATTTAACTACTCTGTTTCTATATCCACCTATCTACCTTTGTCTACCAACAACCCCAGCTGATGCCAGTAAAAATATGTCATGATCACTAAGTCTTTAAAGCAGTTTTTTAAAACCTTTGACCTTGTACTAAACCTTCTAGAATCTTCTGTATTCCATTCTTATAGCTAACTCAGTATCACTATGGCCAAGACTAACACTAGTAGTCAAAGCATAGCATTAAACTGTTATGTTCTTGTAGAGTTTACTCTAACCCTGGTACTAACTTCACAACATATCTTTACTATTTTGGTATTCAATTTAAGTTCCACCAAGCTGTTATTCCAATTAGCCTAAAAAGATAGATTGAAACTATACACCTCTGGTTTATATGTTTGCTAACATGTACCCTTTTCTCTAGAACTCAGAAATTTTGGTGGCCTGATTGGTTCATCTGGTCTTTTCTCAAAGACTGGCACATTTGACTAGCTTCACAAGTTCTAGCTCTATTTTATAAGTCTAGTCTTTACAGTAGTACTGTCAAAAGCTCAGGTTACCTCTTTACTTAAATCTTCCAAGTAGGCTTCCATCTCTATCTTTTGGTTCCTATAATTTATATAGCCATAAGGACTTATTGTAGGTTTGCACTGCCTAATATTGGTTTGCATTACTTTGTGTAACTACAGACCTTGTCCAAAAGAACAATGTTATGTAACTGTTATACAAATGCCATGTGACCTGTCAGTTATGCTGGTGCAACATAAATAACAGATATCTTATCCCAACCAATTGTGAGAGATAGTTAACTATAACACAGAAAGAATTTTAAAATTTTCTAACAACACTGGGATTTGAACTCTGAACCTGCCACTTGAAGGTTGACAACCTGACCACTTCACTAGGTCACCATACCACTTTATATTTTAAAATATCTTAAATATTGATTTTTATATAAATTAATAATATTTGATAGATTTAAAATATATAGAAGTCCTTACCTTAATATCAAAAAAAAAAGATATATAAAAGTAAATAATAAATTATAATCAGTAATATCTGTATAATAGAACAATAATATAATGTAAAGTCTACTGTTATAGAACAATAGTGATAGTATAATTTAAAAGCCTATTAGAACAGATTGATAATACAATTGCATATAAAATTAAATAATAATAGATTTAATCTGTAAGATTGAACTTTAATTTATAATATTTCTTAAATGAAAACAACTGTAATTAATAAATAATGTTGCAGTGACTAGTAATAAGAAGAAAAATCATTATTAAAAAGAACATTATGAAGGTTAAAGGTGAATGCATAATAAAATAAAATCAAAACTTGTACAAATTATTCATCTACTTATATTAATAATCTTAAAGAAATTCATTGTTTAAAACAAATTAATCATAATAATAAACAAAGTAGTACTAGTATTTAAACAAAAACTTAAAGCATATAAAGCAAGTTAAGCATTAGCACATATATGAAAAGCTGTTCAGTATAAAAAAAGAATTCAAGATATTAATAAAGTATTAATTGGAATAAATAATAACAAATTATAATTAGTTTATCAAAGTATTATTCAACCAACTAATATCAAAAAAATAAACCAAAAAACACTTTGTTAGAGAATAATTAATAGGATTAAACAACTATCTGATGATTAATTGAAACCTGCAGTTTATTTATTAGATACAATGCAATACTCTAAAAAACCAAGTAAGGGTAATTTACTTTTATTTTTGCAAAATAAGGCTCTAAATTTTGTAAATTTATCTTTCTATAAAGTAGTCAGGATTTAGACTCATTAATTCAAAAAATAAAGCATTTCAAAAACAAGTTACTCAATTAGAATATTTAAATGCCAAAAAGAGTTATAAAGTTAGACAATTAATAGAAACAGTGTCACAATATGAATTCAAACAATGCCATTATATATCAAAAGTATGTGCTGCAGCTCAGAAGCCAATACCAGCAAATTTTCAATTTTGAAGGCAGACATTTAAGTGATTATTATGAAAAATAAATGTCTATATGCAACTTATTTTATAAACTTAGTCACACAAGTGTTACAAATTAATCAAATGTCATTTTGAAGGATTATCCAAGTTACTTATTCATTTTTAGATTTTTTAATTAGAAAGATTTATTATTATTAATTTTAGCTTAATTTGTTATTAGATGAAATAAGAAACTTAGTAAAATTTATATAAATAAGATATTTAATTTAAGTAGTTATTCAGAATATTTCACTTTTAGAATAGCAGCAGATGAATCAACCCAGGATCAATATAAAATATTTGTGTTATGTGTAATGTTCTGGAACTTCAAAAATAATAAACCAGATTTTTAAATATTGTCAATAAAAGATTTAAATTATTGTAAAAGAAAATTAGTTGTACAAGCAATATTTACATATTTAGTCATTTTAAATTAAATGTATAGCAATAATTGTATGCACCTTAGATAATGCTAGTTATATAAGTAACAAAGCTAGAGGTGCAATTTTATTATTTAACCAGTTAAGTAATGCAAATTTGTTTTGAATTTATATGCATTTCACATTGCACATATTGTAACAAACAATTTTGAAAAGGCTGTATTTGGTAAACTATTTAGTATTATGGAGTTTATACAAAAAGAACTTCTGGTAAATCTTCTATATTTGGCTTGGAATCTCTATAACAGTTATAACAAGAGTGATAAAAATAAGCTAATGAGAATATGATCTAATCATATTTATAAACTTTATAAAGAGTGATTCAACTATCAGTTAACAAAGTTTTAGCAACCTATTAAATCAAGATGGCTCTATGAGTTAAAATGTGCAGAGCAATATTTAGAGTAAAAGGACATTCCTATAAAATTTACAGAATAGTTTCTATCTTATCTTAAAACTAGAAACAATACTCCAAAATTATATATAAAAAGTGAGAATTATTTCAAAGCTGGCTTCATAATTCAATTTTAAATATAAAAATTAAATTGCTAGTTTGTTTCAAAAAAGATTTTTATTACCCAATAGCTAAATTTCTTATGAGCTATGATTCTAAATTACAATTATTACTAATAAATCTTCCTCCTGATTGATATGCATTTCAGATGCCTAACTTTATAATTTGTACTATCATAAAGCTTAAAAATATTGCTAAAGACCTCTATTTATTTTTCAGAGAAGAGTTACTTAATGTCCTAATTTGTTAAATAATGATCAGCTTGCCAAGCTTATATCAGGTTTAGACTGTAATGCACAAAAAGCATTAGAGCTTTGCCAAAAATAGTTAAATTGCTAACTACATCTTCTCCTCAGTATTTGTTAATTAAGTAAAAACTTTGAATAAGAATTTGCATAGCACTTTGTACATATTAATCTAGGAACACCTTGGTCCTTAGCACCATTATTGCAAGAATTGTGTTTTGTAAAATTTATTAAGTTAAACATTAAATTTGTTGAATTTAATGATTTTAAGCTATTAGTTATATTACTTAATCCTAAATTTAGTTGTAAATTTTAATTATTTATTTGAGAATGAAAACTTTTAACTTATTTTTAAAGATATATAAATTTGTAAAAAATTGAATTTGGTATATTTTGGTACATTAATAACAAATTGAAGACTTGTTTAATAAGTAGAATCTTAAAACTTATCTGAATATTACAAGTAACCTTTAACAATTAAAATTGTGACTTGCAAGTTTACTACTTACTGAAATTAGTTATAATTCTTTGGATTTAACAAAGCTTAGAATTTTTTTTTTTGATATTAAGGTGACCTCTTTGGTCTTTTGACTTTTATTAATCACTTGTCAGCATTGTGGTTCAATGAACCACTACAGGA